GAATGGATGAATGGATGAATGGATGGGAGGAAAAGGGAGGGAGGGAGGGAGGGAGGGACAAAATTACCTGGATAATAGAATTCCAAAATCTGATGCTGTTGTTGTTCCATAGTCATGCTATTGGTTTCGTCCATTACCTTCACTGAAATAAGTTAAACAAATGCTTTCATAATTAAACTTAAGGGACGTGTCAGAAATTAACAGGGGGAAGGGGGAGTAGATAGTTGAGGGAATATCATATCTTTTTGAGCCCTGAGCACCTGATTCGGCAGGAAAAAAATAGGGCAGTCACATAAATTTACGCTCATGTGATCATATAATAAAATAGCATCGTGTTTTAATATTATAGTATGACCGGAATAGAAAAATCATATATGAAAGACAGATATAAATTAATTAAATGAACTTGTGTACAAAAATTATAACACAAGCTATTTAGCAATTAATCCTCGAGTCCGAATATGCTATTGACTCATAGACCATGAGGGCAAGAGGACTATTCGTTTTAGTCAAATCCAACTACTCAGTCAAATATATCTATAGATGTAAACAAGTTTTAAATTAAAGATAAATGTAATGTTTTGGCTTTCAAAGCCGGCACTTTTCGCTACTAGCAGGCTAATACTCAATATGTTATAAATTTATGTATTATTGAATAAGGCTTACACCAGAGTAAAAAGTTATTYGTAAGAGCAACCTCAAGGTTTTGCTGCTTTGAAAAGCATGACAGCTGAATTTKAAACTGTAGTWTCTTGGACCTAGTGAAACCACCAAGAAAGGCACCTGAAAAAATTCCATTTATAATTTGAGAAATTGTAAACTCTTTTTATGTGTTGAAGTTATAACCTGAGCTCGGCAGATGTATTTCGCTTCCTGTGTTTGTATYTAACGAGCRAGCGCCTCGCGACTTCCCTTTTGAGCAAACGCCAAAGCGAGAATAAATAAGGACCCCAGGGTATTGAGGTTATTGCACTAGTTCAAAAAATGCAAATGGCCTTGGTTTACAAGTCTTTTCCAAGAAAACGGAACTGTGTTGAAAAAGGTCACCGCCGCTGTCGCTCCAAAATTGATTAATTTATATTTCGTTTTAAAAAATAACTCAAACTTTGGCCGAGAGAACTATAAAGCTGGTATGCAGCCCGGTATAGTTTTATTCAGTAGTAACAAACRCAGTGGAATTTCAGTTGCGGTCTTTATAGAAAAGTCGTTTCAAAACAATTCACCCGTTACGTTTTCCAAGAACTCTGCATGAGGTCCCAAGTATCAGGATATTTTCGAAAACGGAATTTTCTCGTTCTGGATTGACCTTGGAGACGCAACTTTTGGAAAACGGATGCGTGTGGACGGGTGAAAATGATCCGAAAACGCTAAGTGTGGACAAGAATAATTAAAAAAAAACCCCAGAATTTATAAAATTCATTTTCAAAAATATCCCGATGATACGTGTGGACGTGGCACCAGTTGCAACATCTGTCAAACGCAAGACATATAGTTTCTGTATAATTAACCTATCACGCTAGCGTTAACAGCCTTGTTCTAAGGCTTGACATTTCTTTGCAAAAGAAAAATCCCACAAAGATTACCAATTGTTTTCGGCAACTTTCTTAAGTATGTAGTTATTGACCCCCCAAAAGAAGGAAAACACGGTCTAGGCTAACAGGCAATGAGAACAATTCAAAGCAATTCGCAGAAGTTGTCGCAAAACATCTTTTCGAAGAGCTTCTACTTCCACATCATCATCAGCCGTTGTAACTCAGTCGTAGCATTTTCATCGTGTAGTAGCCACTGCTACGAGTACTGTACTACTACTGACAACAAAACTCCTATACAAAACTAGTCAACTACGTACAATATAATACAATACAATAACTTTATATAACGTGGTCGAAAATACACTTAGCTCAATATATAGGATATTTTGCTAATTTGCAGGTACTGCCACAAAATAATATATAATAAATCAAGAAAATAAATTAAGTTAAAATTATGATAGAATATGATTACGAGAAATATATCTATATATAAATATGCAATATAGTACTAATATAAAATATAAAATGCGATTTATTTACAGTGTCTTAAAATAAAATATAAATAATTATGTCTGTAAGTTATACAAGGTTTCTAGTTCCAATGTTCTTAATTCTTTAAGGGAGCTTTTTATGTTCACTTCTCGTCTCATGCTCTCTGGTAGACTGTTCCATGTTTTGGGAGCAATATACCGCCATGATTTAAGGCCCTGCGTTGTAGAATTGATTTTT